CAGGGCCCCCAGCACCTCCTTGTTCCTCAGGCTGTAGATCACAGGGTTGAGCACTGGGGTGAGGACGGTGTAGAAGACAGCCACCACCTTGTCCTCTGCTGGAGACCGGAAGGACTTTGGGCGGAGATAAGTGAAAACAAAAGGCACATAGAAGAAGGTCACCACAGTGAGGTGGGCACTGCAGGTGGAATAGGCCTTCTTCCTGCCTTCCCGTGAGTGCATGCGGTAGACAGCGAGGAGCACTTTCATGTAGGAACCCAGGATGACCAGGAAAGGGAACAGGAGAAAGAAGAAGGCACTCACAAACACAGTGTACTCATAGACCCAGGTGTCCACACAGGCCAGAGTCAGCATAGCTGGGATATCACAGAAAAAATGATTGATGGTTCTGGACCTGCAGTAAGGGATATGGAGGGCATAGACTGTGTGAGCAGAGGAGTTGACAACACCCATTGCCCAGGACCCCAGGATCATCAGCACACACACTCTTCTGCTCATGCGGATGGGGTAATGCAGAGGGAAGCAGATAGCCACATAACGGTCATAGGCCATAGACATCAGGATCAGTGCTTCTGAACCTGCTAAAGTCCCAAAAAAGAAAGTCTGCAACCCACACCCGATGAAGGAGATGGACTTGTTTCCAAAGAGGAAACCGGAAGCCATCTTGGGCACAGTGGTGCAGATGTAAATGAGGTCCATGAGGGAGAGCTGGCTGAGCAGGAAATACATGGGTGTGTGGAGCTGGGCATCCAGGAGGATGAGCAGGACCATGCTCAGGTTGCCAGCCAGGGCCATCAGGAAGATGGGGACAGTGAGAGTGAAGAGGAAAAGGCCAAGGCTTGATGGGGGGAACAGGCCCAGGAGGATGAAGTCGGTAGAGGTCTCATTGTGATGTTCCATGGAGCATTGGTATGGTTTATCCTAAAGAGAGATGTAACAAAGAATAGGTAGAGATGATTATCAAATTTAAAAATTCCCAAGTATAATCAGGTTTTCAACTTTTTAAAATAATTATTTTGATATTTATTCATACATTACACACATTTTAAAACATGAGCATTTATTGATCATTAGCAAATTTAGAAAACTTTTGTAGTGTAATTAGCTCATGATTTAGTCATAAACTGTACACTTCTGAAATGAAGATTAATTTTGAAAAAGTAAGTTACAATTTTCCTTCCAAACGTTCCTATATTTTGAAACCACCATTTATTTCCTAAATGTCTTTTAATAAACCTCAAATTTTACAGCACAATATTTCTATTATAAGCTCAAAAGTTATGAAAAGGTTCACTGCCTCATTCTACTTCATACCACATCCAAATCTGATTTATGTTCAAAATTTACCCTAGGAAATCTATGTAAAAGTGTACTTTATTTTGGTTAACATTACTAATAAACGCTAATACCCCATGCATGATTTTTTCTTAAACATTTGTAGGCTTAATTCTATTATTTTACCTTTTAGACACTTATTTTAATGAAATATATATCTTTCTTTTATAGCGTTTGATCAAAAATCTCCATGTCACACTTTCTTTATGTTGTTTATGATCATAGGATTTATTTCTTCAGAAATCTACAATGTGTTCTTAAGCCACGCACCTCTTATATAAAGTCATAGTAATTCACACTTTTTATTTTCAGTGTTGAGCATCACTTTTCTCTTTCAACTCCCTCCTCCATGTGAGAACTTTTACAGTGCTCTGAATTTCTCCAAAGAAGTCATCCAGATGGGAATGGGGCACATTGAAAGATGCTCAGTACCAGTAATCATTTCAGAAATGAAAATCACAATCATAATGAAACACATTGTACATTCAGTAGAAAAGATTTCATCAAAGAACCAAATAAAACAATTTATATTTTGCTGAAGGTGTAGAGAAATTGGAAATCTTTGTGCATTTTTTTGAGAGCTAGACAGGGTACCAACAGCATGGAAAATGGTACACTAATTCCACAAAAAGTGGGCAAATTTTGAACATGATCTAGCAGTTCCATATTGGAATGTGTATCTGAGTTGTTTTCATTGCCATTTTCATATGAGCATAATTCACAATATCCACAAGGGAGAAACAATTTAATCATTCATCCACTGATGCATCCATAAACAAACTGAGATATGTATATCCAATGCAGTGCATTCTGTTTTTCCCCTCAAATAAAAATTTTCTAAAAGAGATAAATTATTGAGAAAGTATGTGAAAATTGTCTTTAACCTGAAATAAATTATTTTATTGTTTTCAACTTACTGTCTTTGGCATCTTGTTGTATACCTTTCATCACCTGTTAGACTGATTCTCCCCTTGGTCCTGCATCAATATAAGTATCTTCACTTAAGAATGTTTTCAGGAAGGTATAAATTGAGACTTAGGTCTCATTCCCAGTGGTGGAACCTCGCTACTGGGAGAATTTGGTGGCACAGACACACCCAAGCGATCTCCTGCGTAACTCAGGTAGATGTTCAGCATCATGACCAGCATTCTCCATGAGCTGTCCAGGTATGAAAATGATTTCTGCACTATCAGTCTTTGTGCCACTCTGCATCATTTCATTGCAGAAACCTCTTTTCCTTACACTCCTATTTAGGGAAGAAAAAGAGATAGTGATAAAGGTTTTTTGATGATTTTTGTATTACTAAATTACATAGATTTTCCCCATGTAACATCCTTGTCAGAGCAGGAATAAGAGACGCACAGACCCTTGAGTCACAGGTGCCCACAGAGGGACCAAGTGATCAAGCTGGGAACTGAGGAGCGGCACCCTCCCGAGTCCACACCATGTAGTTTCCACTGCAGCACAGGCTCCCTCACTCTGCTCTCTGTTGATCAGTGGGTTCTCAGAGAGGGATCTTACACAGCAATGCTGCTTTCACTACACCTGTTCTGATCATTTATTGAGGTGGAGCAAGACTCTGAATTCACCAAATGTCCTCCTAAATTTTACTTTACAGGTAGTTTTCTCAGAAATTGTAGGTTCAACTTTCAAGACCCTCTGAATGAAGTAAATTGTCAAACACTTAAATGCTAAATAAATAAACACATATTTCTCAAGTTCATGGCACAGTCTCACTGGTTTTACAGAAATCTGCATCAGTTTTCTCTTCTCTTGATGCATGAAACCTGAATGCTCCTAAGTGACCATGCACTGACCCACCTGCCTGGTGGAGGACTAAGCTCTCTAACCCTGAGAATGAAGTCGGTCTTACTGGCAAGGCTTTGGTGTCATTGATTCTAGAAAGCCACCACAGTCTTACACAAACCTGGTCATACCTGAGTGTCCACCACTGAGAGATGTTCTGCACTGACCTCAGTGCACTTGGATTCACCTCATTGTGAAGCAAATGGGAGAGGGGAGTCAGTGAGGAGAGTGCTCACAGTGCATGGGGAGCTCTCTGGGGTCCCCTTCTATGTGAACATTTCCACCACAGGTGCACTGGAGAGCAAAGACTGAATAGGGGTCTAGATTACTCTCCTCACCTAGGAATGAATGACTTCACTTCATAATGATATAATATTTATTTTCAATATTTTCAATGGTAGAAGCAATGCTAAAATTAGGGCATAAAGAGGACCATAGTATGGTAATATTTTTGTGTATTTGAGTGTCCCTAACTTATCTGCCTCTCTGAAGGTCCACAATGATGCATTATCATTAATACATAAGCAGGCAGGTAGATGGAAGGCATCTCATGGATACATAGAAACCCATTGCATGAAGCTTTTTGGAATTAAATTGGTCTCATTCTCCCTCACTGCATAAGTTCACCAGGTAAAGTTTAGGTTGAAAATTGACCTAAATCTTTCCATTAACATTTAAGAAAGTTAAACTCTGGCTGGGAAGTTCACACTGAGTCTTCCAGAACAAAATGTGGATGATTGCGGCTGCCTTTGAGGAAACTCACAAAGCACACTTGGTGGTGACTGTGTGAGACAGCACTGCCCATTAACTGGGGATGTAAAATCTTCATCACCACTGCCACCATCTCATCAGAAAAAATATCTTCATAAGATTAAATGATCTTCACTGTCCTTCTCCAAAGGTATAGAATTCAAGTTGTTTTTGTAATTTGTCTACTTAGTTCTCAACACAGCTTTTTCATGTCACTAAAGTGGATATTATTACAATTATTTTGCTAAAATGTTGTCTTCTGTACAGAAATGAGATAAATGAATTGCAAAATTAAAAGCATAAAGCTCAATCTGGATTTAAACAGAGATTGACACAGCTACCGCTCATGTGGTTTCTGGAATCCTTTCCAAAGTGTGTCTTTGAAGATCAAAAATTGTGCCCTTGCTTCATTTAACTGGTCTCACTTTTTTTTTAACTACAAGGGGTATTTCATATGTTCATATTGAAATTCTCGTTATAATTTCCATGTATCTAAGTGAAATAAAATGGACTCATAGGAAGATAAAACGGAAAGCAAGAGGCAGAATTAAGTTTACAATTCTCAGATAATCACTCATCATCTTGGAAAAAAACAAAGAAAACAAGCAAAAATGAAACAAAACAAAATGCATGAAGACAAAATGTTCTCTCTACTATTGTCACTATGAGTTTGGATTGCAAGTGTAGAATTTATGTTTCAATTGCCACTTCAGCACAGGGACAGCTCATGCAGTACCATGTGCTCTCCTGGCTTCTGCTGTCACCATCTGCTCTCCCACCCGGAGCACTTTCTCTGGGTATGAAAAGTACAGTGACGTATGTTCAAATTCAATGTCTGTTTCTGAAACTAAGTTCTCTGAAACACATGCCAGAATTTCTCCTCCCAAACAGTAAATCAAAGATAAAGGTGTTATTTGTATCTCTTATTACCTATCCACATTGAAAAACTCACTGCCTTGATTACCTGTTATGTTGCTTTGTTTTCAAGTTCCTGGGCACAATAACTGACACTCACAACTTAGAACAGTTTACTTCGGCTCCTGCTTTCATTTGGTGGTTGGTGTCAAGATAGGAGCTGCATAGCAGAAGGGCCAGTAGAAACAGAGCTGCTCAGTTCACAGTGGGCAGGAGGCTGAGTGGATCAGAAAGAGTGTGACCAAGACACACAGCCTCAAGGACACTCCAACAGTGCCACCTGAGCCAGGCCCTAGGTCTTAGCAGCACTTCCAGACTGGAACACTGGTGGATGATTCCTCAGAGGTGGATCACCCCCATGACAGTCACCTGTCCAGAGCCTCAGGACTGAGTGCAGTTGACAGTGAGTCCACAGTCACAGGTGAACAAAGTCATGTTTCTGAGTTGACCTTTTGAGTTTTATCCTGACAAATGTGCATAGTTGCCTCTCACTCCCCACCTGGCATTTCTGAGACCTCCAGGAGACTGAGTAGCAACCAAGATTCCATCATCATGTAGCTGTGGACTGAGTCTAAGGACTGCCCTGTCCCTGGAGAATGTCCACTGAGACCGATGGGAGGGGGCAGTCACCAGGGACATGGTCTGGCCTGAGGCCAAGCTGAGGACTGAGCCCTGTGGGGCCCTGAGGTCTCTCCAGGCTGCCGTGGGGAGGACCAGGAGTTCATGGGATCTTCCCGGGCTGTCCTGCTCTGGTTTGCCATGGCGCCTTCTGTGTCAATGCTGTGGCTCAGTACATGCATGGGTATGATGTGCGTGCATGGATCAATTTCCCACTTTGTTTGTAGTGGAAGAAATTGCATGAAATGAAATCCATTTAATAAGAGTATGTAAGTAGAAATTCTTAGAGTATCACATAAAGGTTAATCTAAATTTGCAACTATTTCCTTTGGAAAACTCCATTGAATTATGAAACAATGTTATCATTATTAAAATAGGTAATTAAAATGATAAAATTATGTATATTGTAGGGAATTATTGACAAAACATTCAGTAATTAATTTTTGTTTCAAATAGAAGCTTAATCATGTTCACAA